TCTGTTATGCGATAGGCATACATGTTATGAGTGGCTCGGCTAATTTTAGAATTTTCTAGTAGACGATTTAGAACCAGTGTGACCTAAAATATCGGATGTGGCATCAAAGTAGAAGCAATATTAGAAAAACAGCTCTAATACCTCTTCTTTGCTAAAAACCCTAGCAAGATGAGCTTGAAAATGACTTTTTCGATCAGTGAACACTTCGCCATGATAAATCGTTGGTACTAAGTCAACTACGCTCGGGACAGGCTCCAATATCTCGAGGGGTACGTCGGAAGAAACCTCAGCTTCTTGAGTTTTTTGCTGTTTGGCCTAAAATCGCTTCAAACTTTATTAAAACATTCTCCAGTGCAAGTGAATAAACCTCAAGGAAATCCTTGATCACCGTTACCCAAGCATAGATTATTGGAGAACCTATATTTTCCAACCATGTTTCATTCAAAGCGTTCTCCAGTTCTATTCTGTCATCCCGTGATAGCGAGGGACCACTAAGCTCGTAGAGGGCGGGTTCCCTAGAAAAACACTAATTTGCAGTATTTTTTCCATCACTAGACTACTTCTAGATTTTCTGCCATAAAGTGCACTCTAGAGACACTTAGTAAGCGCAAAATCTTGCCACGCGCGACAAACCCGGTCAACTATAAATGAACTCTTGGCATCTGTCGTTCACAGATCCAGTGCATTCGAGTTTTTTGTTGCATTTTTTTACAAATAACAAGTATTTTTACAGTACCAGATGCCGCATTTCCCACGAAACCCCTTCCAGATTGGTACGTTTGCACTTCTTGCACTGTACTTACTGACTATTTGCTGCATTTCACGACGTATGAGTGCTATTATCCCGTATACGCAGACTTATTTCACCTTTCCGTTTGGTAAAAAAAAATCATAAATTCTGTTTAGAAAGTTTTGCACCTTCAAAAGTACTCAACTTTTCAAAGAAGTATGTATTAGCCGGAAAGATCGATGATTATAGCCAACTGTCAAGAGTCTTACGAAGGTATGGCAATTTATTCCAAGATAACGTACACCCGGACAAATCAGTTTTTTATGGGGTTGTTATCACGCCTTTTTCCGTACCAGTCGCACAGTTGCACTCTTACATTAATCGCTTGTCTTTTTCAAAACTGAAAGTTGCTGTAACAAATTCAAAGAATTCTGAATTTTCACTTTATTATACTGCATTAGCATCCGGAAAATTATCTTTGTAACCAAACTGGGTAATTATCGGATGTTATTAGATTCAAAAATCTGCTTTCCTCGGATATCCTGTTTACTGCTGTCTCGAATT